CAGTGAGGGTTGCACATCAAAATCCTTCTTGGTGAAAAAAAGGAAGAAGGAACAAAACACAATTATGAGCTTTCCGTTCCTTGCCGTGTTTTGCTCAGAGGAGACTCAGTGGCGTGCGGTTTGATTATTCCAGGACTGAGAGCGATGCAGATGGCATTTGTGTGGGTTTTATCTGCTGGATCCCGCTCTTCACTGTAGCAGATCTGTGTGTAAAGCTCTGAAAGCCTCGTGTTCACATGCTACGAGGAGCTTGCTGATTAAAGAGCTTCTCCAGCATATGGGACAAGATATTAGTTCACATGCGTGCCAGACGTATTGGATTCTTTCCTTTTTCATTTCTGTTAGTAAGAAACAGAGACAGACGCAGATACGGAGAGCTGAAGTGGGATGAGATGGTCTGCATTAGTTTACAGGTGGACATGAGAACTGCTGTCTAAGGCCTTTATTAGTAAGGTTTAGTCTGGAATACATATTTTGTCATTCTGCATGACATCTATGTCACATAGATCATTTTTATTGTGCTTTTTGTAATTTTTTGAGCTTGCAGTCCCAGTCCTAATTTATTTTCACTTAGTTATTTTTACATTAATATCATAGTTGTATTATAATTTTACTAATATTATTTTTAGATTACGTTATTTGAACTTTTTATGGAACTTTTTTTGATACATTTTATGTCATTTTCTGAGCTTTCAGGAGGGTTATAAAGGATCCCTGGCTTCAGAAGCTGCTAACAGCATCGGCTCTGGTTTGGTTTACTATCCTACACCTCAAAACACCTGGACTCATTCCTAAGCATTCAGTCCCCTTATACTGATGTTTAAAACAATGTTTAAAGCACTCGTCTTTCAAGGGAAGGTAATAGATTTCTAATTGTTTTCTTACGATGTTGGAGGTTTATTTTGCTAAGCTAATGGCTGTTTTGCTTCACGTCTCTCCTGCTGAGGATGGGCTGTGAGCTCCGCATCCGGCAGAAACGCTCCATTTAGCGTCTGAAAGCAGTCAGGAATCTCAGCGTGCTGTAGAGGGAGGGAGGATGTTTTTAGGAGAAGGACCAAACCATTGGGTCCAGCTCAACGCATCATCTGAGAGGAGGAACGAGAATGAGGGAGACTGAAAGACAGCTATGTTTACACAGAGTGCCACCATATGTGACGTTCACGTTTATAGAAAGACCGTTTTTAAGGTCTACTGAAATGGCAAACGTCAATTCCAGGAAGTTCTCGAGGTCCTAAATGTGCCTGAACCTGCGTCACTGATTGCAGCTCTGTTTGCATCTGTAATCTCTGTATGACTGAGTGATATGAGGCTACTTTTGTGTACTTTAATCTATCAGGTTAATTTCATAAGTTTAAAGTTAAAAAAAAAAAGTAAAAAAGTAAATAAAAAATAATTAACATAAATAAAAAAAAGATATATACTCTATACTGTATATACTCTATAATTCATGCATGCAATGACTTGAATGCACATCTTCTATCATGAGCACATTTTTATTTTCAGAGTTTTAATTATTTTTCTATATTTTCAGGGTGAGATAATTGTCCTAATATCATAAAAAAAAAAACTTGAGTATTTTATTATTTTATTTTATTTTACCGTATAATTTTTTATATGAAAAATATTTTGTCAGGTCCAAGTCATGAGGTATGGTCAGCATGCAAAAAATGTGTTGTGCAAAAGTTCAGTAATTAATCATTTAAAATAAAAATTATATGTTATTATTATTTATAGATATTTTTTATATTATATTATATTATATTATATTATATTATATAAAAAATGTGTACACCCATGTTTTCAGGGACAAAAATTTTATATTTTTTATGTTATGATTATACAACATGACATTTTTTGAAGTATTAAATAAAAATAAAAAATCTTGAAAATATAAATGTTTTTCAAAATCATATGAAACCAACATTAATATAAATTCATGTTTTATTTTAATAATAATAATAATGTATCTTTAAGAAAAAAACGGCACTCTTATATTTCATTGACCCATATATTCAAACCAATCCTCCCTGCTGACCCTCGGTTCAGGGTCGCTGTTCTTGAGGCCCTTAAACAGGCGTTCACTGACAGAATGAGCAGCCAGTGCCCGAGTCTCGCCTCACTAGCCAAATCTAAACACTGAACAGCAGCCATTGAAAAAATAATTACAGCTGTCCAAGCGGGAGACCCGTTAAATGCTAGAGTTTGAGGGCTGTATTTTCAGCGTCGCAGCCGACACATTTTCCATCAATATCTGACGTGAAGGTCTTCGAGCGAGAAACGACGCGTCTACGCTACACCAGCAAACAGGCCTCGGCTGCACTCTCGAGAACTGTAGCGCTGCTGTCGGTTAACGTTTGTTTATATATCATTTGCATGCTAATTGTGTTAGAGCGTGCGCGCGCCGACCCGTTGCGCTGTACATTTCAATGAGACGCACACAGCTGGACTCACATTAATGCATCATCTAGAGTTCATCTGAGAGATTGTATGTGCTGTGCAGCGGTATATCATGCATCACTGAAACTATCGTGCACGCATGTGTGTAAAGCAGTCGTGCATGCTGGCATTTATCAGTGTTTATTGTTAGAGGTACACAGACTATTTTATCCAATCATGCAGGTGGCTTAGATCATTTTTAGTACTTGGCAACTGTTTCAGAGTCTGTTCCATATGGCTCGCACGGTTATACATACACACACACACACACACACACACACACACACACACACACACACACACACACAAAACAAAATCTCACACGCACATGTGTGATAGAGAGAGAGAGGGAATGATACGTAAGAGAGGAGAAACTCATGTGTATGTAGATGAAAGACAGGAAGAAATGCTGGCAAAAAAAAGGATATGTTGATATGTCCAGAAACACACACTGCCTCTCAAATGTGTGTGTGTGTTAACAGAGGAGATGTGATGGTCTGTCCCGGGACGGTGGGTCAGATCAGCACCCTCAGCATTTAAACTGCCAAGCACAATCAATGAGACACACACACACACACACACACACACACACACACACACATCACAAATTCACACGTACATGGGATCCAAAATTAGCTTTGTACCACATGAGCCAGCTGAACATGAATTGAAAATGTTTACTGGCCATAAATATTTCATTGTCAATATTTAATATTTTAGTAAATATTACACCGACCATGAAAGTGTATTTTTACAATTACAGTTCAAAACTTTGGGGTCAGTAAGATTGACTGATTTAATTTAATTTAATTTAATTTAATTTAATTTTCAAATAAATGCTGTTCGTTGTACTTTTTAATCAGCAAAAAAAATCTTGGGTAAATACCAGTGTTTCCACAAAAATATGAATCAGCGAAAAACTGTTTTCAACATTGATAATAATCAGAAATGTTTCTCGAGCAGCAAATCAGCATATTATACTGATTTCTGAAGATCATGTGACACTGAAGACTGGAGCAATGATGCTGAAAATACAGCTGCACATCACAGAAATACATTACATTTTACATATATTACTATAGAAAACAGTTAATTCAGTTAATAATATTTCACAATATTGGTGCATTTTTGATCAAATAAATGCAGCATTGGTGAGACTTCTTTTAAAAAACTTAATTATTCCAAACTTTTGACTGCTGATGTGTGTGTGTGGATTTTATTTTATTTTATTAAGTTTGTCTTGTATTTTTCTCAATCAGTGCAAGTGTTTATGTGTAGCATCATAATAAGGGATAATTGTATTGCATTGCAAAATAGGTTAAAGAATACATTTAACTTTGTTTGAGTAAATTAAGTTTTAGTTATTTTTACACAAAATTTCCCTTTTAAATTAAGATATTTAAGAAAAAAAAGAAAAACTAAATAAATGTTAAAATAAATACACAGGAAAAAAAAAAAAATATATATATATATATTTCCATTTCCATTTAAACCATGTTATGTTCAATTTCAATGTAAAGAAAGGAGACCTTTTTTTGTTTTTTTCTCTCCTACGCCACTTTTTACTCATTTAGTGTTCTATTTGTGCTCTGCACACACACATGCAATTCCCTGACCCGAGCAGCCAAGCTCATTCGCTCCCATTGAGGCATTTCTAGAATTCCTCCTCTACAGAATTCCATAAGCAGGATTAATGTTGTCTCCGCACTGGCGCATGTTTGAAGTGTGGGCCTGCTGTGTCTTTGTGAGGAACCCTTAACAAGAAACAAGTGGATTAAATGCATGAAAAGGTCATTAAGCAGACGAGTTGAGGGAGTTTCGGCTAGGAAAGTGGAAAGTTTCAAAGTGGAAGTTTATGAAAACGATGCCTTTATCGTCTCCGTGTAAACTACAAAAACGTGAATTTGTGAAAATGGGGATGTCATGCGTATTACATGTTTAGTCTATAGGTTTGTGCGCAGGTGCGTAGTGTTTCTTTACAAATTGACATCGCCATCTACTGGCCTGGCATGCATAATACAGGGAGTTGAGGGAGTTTCGGCTAGGATCTGAACGGGCCGAGTCTCAAAGCGTGTTTAGTCTACAAGCTTTTGCTCTTCCTCCCTCTTGTTCTCCACACCCTCTCCTCCACCTCCTCCCACGACCACACAGGGAATATAATGGGCCTCATATTTGGGCCATCCATCAGTGCCTTAAACTACAGAAAGGAGTTATGCGCACTTTCCCTCACCGTCTCACACACACACACATACAGTACATTGGGGAAAAAGAGGCAAAAATGACCTCGAGAGTTAAAAATGTGACGGATGCAAGACGGATAATCTGACACCTCACTTTGCATCCAATGGAGCCATTTATATTTTATATTATTTTAGCACACTTTTTTCACCCTCCATCTTCAGATAAACGCAACCCCGATATGCACATATGTCTTCAGCGAGGGATGTAAATTATAAAAGTGAATTAGGAGGGAAGGATTTATTGAGGAAAAAAGTGAGACAGCGTCTTTTGTCTTCTCTTTCTGGCATGTTTTCTTTACTCTCGCTCTCTTTCTCCACCCCAAGGGAACTCCACACGAGATGTGGGACCGTCATTGGGTTTGAAGAAGTCGAGTTCCTTGGAGAGCCTCCAGACGGCTGTTGCCGAGGCGACGCTCAACGGAGACGTCTCGTTCCACAGGCCACGCCCCAGAATCATCAGGGGGCGGGGCTGCAATGAGAGCTTCCGGGCGGCCATCGACAAGTCTTACGACAAGCCAGGTGTGACCATAGTCAACTCCGATGAAGATGACGAGGGGATGGAGACGTGTAAGTATTGGAGAAAAATCATGTAGATTTACATTGAAGGAGAGATTTGAATCATATCTAGAGACTAGGATAATCATGAGTTGTGTCCCAGTTTGCATTGTATCCATCCTAAATAGTATTCGGCATTAGTGTGTCCTGAATCGTAGTATGTTGAAATGAGTATCATGGATGGTTTATTATTTACGGTGAAAATTTGAAGTGCAATGACTTATATTGGCCACAACCCATTGCGTATTGGAAGCGGATTCGATTAGAACTACAAACAGAAATAAAAGTGTTAAAAAACTACAAACATGGTGCATGTGTGAGACCGACAAATAAGTAGAGAGGGGGCGTTTACATGACATTATTTTCAACTAAAAACATCGAAAATTTTGTGTTTTGGTCGTTAATTTACACGACAACAGCAAACTTTTGAAAACAGGTTTCAAAGTGGAAGTTTATGAAAACGATGCCTTTATCGTCTCCGTGTAAACTACAAAAACGTGAATTTGTGAAAATGGGGATGTCATGCGTATTACATGTTTAGTCTATAGGTTTGTGCGCAGGTGTGTAGTGTTTCTTTACAAATTGACATCGCCATCTACTGGCCTGGCATGCATAATACAGGGATTTTAATCGTTTTCGCTGATTCGTGTGAATGGGGATCGTTTTGAAAACATTTTTGTCTACACATGAATCTTTTAAAAAATGCAAAGGAAAAACGTTTTCGTTTCAATATCTAACCTGATAAAAAATTATTATTTGATGTTACCCACATTATATTTCATCTGCAACAACATTGCAAACTTTAATAAAGATATGTTTGTTCATTCACTTTTTCTGCTACACACTCAAAAGTATGTGCTTTTTCTTCACAAAAAGAGTACACACTTTTAGAACAGTTTAAGTAGGCGAACTGGGATGCAGCAATGCTCTTTGCTTGTCCCTGTACGAAACCGATCACCCTAGCAACCACCGAAAATACTCTGGTAACACCCTAGCAACCACTAGAGTGAGTCTCATTAGAGTGTGTGCCAGTGATTTCTGTGTGCAGCGACAAATATGGCACGAGCTGAGCTGTCTGATTTGTCAGATTGTTATGAACCGTTTTTCTTTCTATTAATGAATCAGTCAAAATAATTCACATTTGCATTACCAGACTCACAGTGAATCGTTCAAGGTCCACATTGTCCTTGTATTAATCTCGAAATGAATAAGGGGCCGGTTGCACCAGTTGTGCTTAAATTACAACCTAGCCTAGTTTTGACGTACAGTAAGTGAGGTAAACGTATGCATTAAACACACACAGATTATGACTAAAAGCATTGTATTATGCGTAGTCTAGCAAACAGCACATAAAATGCTGCAGCGCATGAGGGCAGTGAGTTTTGCTCATGTATGTAAACACAACAGTCTAGTTTGATGATTCTTTAGTCCAGCCTGTGCCTCGTCATCTGCTTTCTTAACCTCCTGTTTTCTCTTCATATTGAAAATGGCTACTCATGTAATCACAGCTATTACTATAATTGCGCAGGCACCGTAAAGGCGACTTGACACAATGTCAATGCCAATTTCATCAGTTGTCTCGCACAATGACTGGCCCAGAATATTACGAGACGCCCGCCAATTGAGGTTCACTTTATAGACAGAACTCAGTAGAGAAACAAGGCAGCGGGTCTCATGAGGACGACTTGTGTTATTCTGAAGATTAGACTAGCAGAAGAGATCCTCCCGCTGTAAGTAGGTCAGGCCTTCCCTCAAAGACCCGAAAGGAAATAAACAGCCAATAAGCATGTGTATAACTTTCACTATTCATTTCTCCCATGACCAAATGAATTTCCAGACGTCCTCGCTGGGCATTTTTCTCTAATGGGACCTGGGTTTTAAAGGGATATTTCTCAATGCTCGCAGACTCAGTGGTTTACTAAATGCGTTTTGGTTCATTGATTGCTTGCAGCAGCGATTTGTATTCTTTTCATATTTTAGATTGTTTCATTTATTAACCCATTTTAAAATATTTTATTGCCAAGGTTTCTTGCAATTAAGGTGTTTTTTTCTGGCATAATAAGCAAGGAATCAAATTAAAATATGTATACAGTACTTGTCAAACATTTGGACGCATTGTGGTTTTTAAAACAGTAATATTGTGAAATGTTATTACAATTTAAAATAAATATTTTCTATGTTAATATATGGTAAAATGGAATTTATTCCTGTGATGCACAGCTGTATTTTCAGCATCATTCCTCCAGTCTTCAGTGTCACATGATCTTCAGAAATCAGTATAATATGCTGATCTGCTGCTTAAGAAACATTTATGATTATTAGCAATGTTGAAAACCATTTTTATGCAAAAACCATGATATGCTACCATTCAAATGTTTGTGTTTTGGATCGAATAAACACAGGCTTGGTGAGCAGAAGAGACTTCGTTAAAAATCGTAATGTTTCCAAACTTTTGACAAGTACTGCATTTTTTAACTGGAAGTAATTAAAACATATATAGTTTCACACGGTTTGCGATCTGAGTTCAATAATACAGTGTTAGTCACTAGTGCTGTAAAATGAGTTTATGAAGTCTGTCCGACAGACCTGTCTGTTTAATAACACCTGCCAGGGGGAAAAACCACGCCATCCCTTTGTTCTCCATTAAACGATTCCATTAAAAGCAAGCAGAATTTTTTTTCAAAAGAGTCAAATTATTTCCCTCAATCGCTTTGTTCTTGTAAGCTGTGTCCACATTGGGCTAAATACTGTCTTATCTCTTCAGCGGAGCAATAGAAGCATATTGCATTTCTCGTCTTCCAATATTCAAATAACTCTGTTTTTCAATTTAGATAAGAGGAACCTGCCTGTGCTTGTCACCGAGGTTAATAGTCAAAAGTTGACAGATAAGGGCAGGCTTTTTCTTTCCACACAGACACTTTTATTTGCATAAAATGTGAATTTGGCATCACCCGAGGAAAAAATGTGTCACTGGGAGATATCCAGCCGGGAAAATGAGTTGGGCTGTGTTTCGTTGTGTTTTATGTTTTTAAATATCAGACTGAAATGCGCTCGGCTCTTTTTCCCACTGGGTTTTTAGCCAGAGTGCCAATTTCAAGACTCCATTAGAAGTGATCGGCGTTCTAAAGGAGAAATGAATACCGTGGCACGTCAAAAGGAGACGACTAATGATGCCTTTTGATTGCGGTGTCAAAACATTTACCACTCAGTCCTGTGTAGCTGAAAGTTGCCATTAATTACTGTAATTCATTTCTTTTTACATTTCGGTCAACAATTAGCAGAACCGTAACTTACTGTGAAAACCGTTTTAATGAAAAGGCCATTGATCTGTGAAGTCGCTGCTGTATTGTCTGCAACTCTATAGGCACGAATCTGATTTTTCAACTTAATAGGGATGTTTATAAATGAGAAGAGCCCTGTCCAATGCATTCTTCCCTGTGTTATTGGTTGCACTTTATTTCAATCGTCCACTTAAGCATAAAATTGAACGATATACAGCACAGTAACGATTTTATTGATACAAAATGAAATGTACACAAACCTGTATTTTAACGAAGAAATGCATCAATTCGATGGCGCTTAGAACTGTTCTCTTCTGAAGAGGACACACAATATCGGCGATAAATAACTCAACCGCTGGGTTACGTCTGACCCAGGATCTGAGTAACACAAAAACTATCCAAACACTGAAAAAAGAATCCAAAAAACCCAGCATTTGGGTTAAAAAAAATACCCCAGGATTTTTTAGAGTGCACATAGTTGCAAGTTACATATAGTCAGTAAAATGTGTTGGCGGACCATCAAAATAAAGTGTTAGCAGATATTAAGCAGACAGTTTACTAATGCTCTAATGAAAATGACTGCTAGTTGAAATGTAGTCAACTTCCCCTCCTGGTTTACGAGTTTGACAAGTCGTTATTACTGTCACGAATTCGGTCCATGGACTTCCGTTTATTCACCACCGTCAGGTGTGTTCATGCGCAAGTTATGGATGCACCTTTTCTTAAAAAATAAAAAAAAATCTTAAAATAAAATTTTTAAACTCTACTTGAAATACAATACAATACAATTTTATTTATATAGCACAGTTTAAAAACAACCGGAGTTGACCAAAGTGCTTTACAACACTATACCAACAATAGGCAAATTGCAAAATTGCACATTAAATATACACAGAATATACACAAGCTGTACAATGTGTGGCGGGATCAGTAAAGATTGTGATTTCTTTAAATGTTTTTTTTTTTTTTCAATTAATGAACGTTCATGATTGTACAATATTTCCGTGTTTTTTTTCTCGATGCACCAAGATAGGTTTATTGTAAATAAACATATTTAAAACTAAATGCAAAAAATAATGACACTCTGTCCAACTCTGGGCTTAACGAAAGTTATTTCCGAGATGACTTGAACGCAGTTACTTCTAGTCAGTAGAATGTCTAAAGTGGACTATCAGAATAAAATGTTACCTATTATTTTTCATTTCGTCTCCTGAGAGTCAATCTTTCTGAAGGCAAGAATGACATTTTTGAACATTCGTTGATGCTCAGACTATCCAGAATCATTTCCACGACAGCATGAAAAGATGTAGAAATGTCCACAATGACTCATTTCAAAGGCTAGTTTTAATTGCTGAATGCATCTGAGCTTGGTCGCCTTCCAATAAGTAGCCGGCGAGAAAAAAAAAGGATGAAGATGATATCCAACTAAAACTTGTTAGCATTATTATCATCTCCTGAGCTGAAAAAGGTTTGGATTTATTAAAAAAAGAACTCAGTAATTGTTCAATGCACTGATTTCACACACTCCTTGTCTTATGCCGATCCATTCGGATATTGTTTCAGTAGATGGCAGAATGACAGAATTGCACAAGTGAATAAAACAAAAGGAACGTTAAACCACTCATCTGAGCATACGGAAATATCCGTGACGGTCTCTCGCTTTCACGAGGCCTTTCTTCCAGTTCTCACTCGCGTCAGAGATTTGTTGGTTATTAATAAGCTCTAATCACACAGGCATCTGTCTCCAGCGCCACATCTCCGCCGTTACGTCGCTCTATTCAAAAGCACTTTGCTTTTAGTGCCCTCTATTTTTTTTCCTCCTTTCTGAGCGTTTTTAAACTTACAATTAGTGACAAATTAATCACGTCCAGACCATCAGGAATGGAGACAGTAGCTGTAATCAGACGCTTGCTGAAATGGAAATGAGCAATATCAGCCAGCTGCGGTCCCTTATGATTATACTGATATGCGGCGTATCACGAAGATAGGTGGTGGAGGATGAATTAGCATTGCAAAAGATACTTCAAAATAAAATGTTCCCACAGAGAGTCGCTCGCTTTTCCAAAACAGCATCAAAGTACTTGCATTAATATATCATTAATGAAATACATCATCCCGTTGACTGGAATCCATAAAATCAGCGTTACAAAATTCATGGGCTATCAGATGTTAAGAGTGCTCTGAAAATATGATCCTCCTTCGGCTTGTCCATTAGAAGAGATGAACTCTTTGTCTTCCAAGTAAACATCTTAATAGTGTGGTGACGTGATAAAATACTCGGTCAGCAAAGCAATTCTTTCTGAAATGATCGCCAAACTCAAAACGTGGAACACAAAAAGAGTTATTCTGAAGCACACTCGGCAGTGTTGGGGAAAGTTACTTTTAAAAGTAATGTGTTACAATATTGCGTTACTCCCTAAAAAATGGTGTTAGTTACTTTTTATGGAAAGTAATGTGTTGCATTATTTTTGTGTTACTTTTGCATTACTTTTTAAATCTGGGCTGGATTTGTTTGTGTTTAATATAAAATAATCTAATCTTTAGCAATAAAAAACACAATTGTTATGCTTATCTAAGGTCATTTTTGCTTATTAGTATGGTTGAATTAGCTCATCGAAATTCAGCAGCAAAGATATTGGTTAATAAAATGGGATTTAATACATCTGTGTTATTTAACATTTAAATATTGCAGGTTTGTGTAATATTCTGAGTTTGCATTTCACAATTTGTATTCGTTTTGAGGAATACTGAATCTTTTTTTTTTTGTGCGAGTGAGATGAGTAAATGCATGTTCACATTTAGTCTAGATCTACTGTAACATCATGTTCACACAGCGCACACAACGCCTGCACTCACTCCTGATTTCTCTCAACATGGCAACCGGAGAGCCGTCAGTCAATACTTGGGAAAACAAAGTAACTGCTGTTACTTATTTGAAAAAGTAACTCCGATATTTTCTTGTAAATTTAAAAAGTAATGTGTTACTTTACTAGTTGCTTGAAAAAGTAATCTGATTACTTGCGTTACTTGTAATGCATTGCCAGCAACACAGCACATTCAGTCTGCTCTTTTCTATACAACCAAAGCATCCAGTCAAACTCCAGGGCTTTTATATTCTGACTGCATGATCTCTAGACCTCAGCTTCAGCAGAAGAAACTATTATTCAGTAACCGATGGTCAAAAAACTGCAGAAGCTGATACAGGCTATAGATGTGGTACTGCAGAAACTTCGTTCAGAGCGGTGAGGTGAACGGAAGACGAGCCTCTTCTGGTGCACTTTAGCCTTTTGAACTTCTAAGTTCACTTTCTACATGAGTTTTATTGGGTCAGTGAGGAGTAACGCTAATAGGCTTCCTTCACTGCTCCTGAGTAACCGAATTTGAGACCGCCGGACTGTGGTGGGAAGATGTGACCCTTTAGAAGCAAAAAGATAATGGGGTTCCTTCAGATTGAGTAACCTCTGAGGTCAAACTCAGCTAAGGAAAAATCAAAAGAGATTCAGGCAAGATGATAGTTAGATATAGTTGGACTTGAAGACGAGGTCTCATTAAGATGTTTTATTAAGTCAATGTTTAAAGAAGTCAGACCGTTGACCGTTCTGCTTTGAGACACTAAATTAGCCCAAATTCCTTATCAGTGAAACTGTGGTATCAGTTGAGCTATGCTTATACAAATTGCTAGACATTATTTTTTATTTTATTTTATTTATTTATTTATTTATTTATTGTTTTTTGTAATTTGATTTGATTTAAATTAAATTAATTTAAATTTATTTTATTTTATTTTTTGTTTTATTTTATTTGTAATTTTATTTAAATTTATTTTATTTTATTTTATTTTATTTTAAATGTTAGCGGTACTTGCCTGGTAAAAATTTTATAATTAATAATAGTAGTTGTAGTATCATCATTCAATGAAACTGTGGTTTCAGTCTACTATTATATAAATCACTAGAGATATTTTATTCTATTTTATTTTATTGAAAATGTCAGTGAAACTTGCAAAACAGCCACTTTAATTAATATTATTATTATTTAACAAGTGGTTGCTAAAGTGTAATGGGTAGTTGCTAGATGTTTGATAGGGTATTTTTGGTGGTTGCTAGTGTGTTGTTTTTGGTTTTATTTGGCAAACCTAACCTTGTGCGACTAAGTGTTTGTTGCTCTTTCTTAATTAAGAGCTTGCAGTGCCTTACATATAGTCTGAGTTCAACATTGATGTTTATCTGTCTCTCTCTCCTCCATCTCAGTGGAAGAAGATACAGAGGAGAGCTCACGATCAGGCCACGACTCCATTTCCACGGCCACGGACCTCACCCTCCCACCCTCCAACACAGAGAAACAGCTGAACGGAGGACGCACCAAAGAGGACAAGAAGAAGGAGCGAGGAGGGAAGGACAAGAAAGACAAGAGCAAAGCCAAGAAAGGCGTGCTGAAGGGCCTGGGCGACATGTTCAGGTAGAGTGGTTTTTCTGGGGACTCCCTGGTACTATTTTATTTATTTTTATTTTTTACCTTGACCCACACTCTTGCTATGATTTGTTGATGCCAGAGGCTGTTTAGATGGAGGTTATTTTTAATAAGGGAATGTTTTATTCATCAATGCATAGGTTTCCTGCTTATATTCATCACTGGTAATTGCTGGACTGGAAACTTTTCTGAAATATACACATTAATGTGCATGGCAGCAAACGTGTAGCTTTTATGTTCCTGTAAACAGCTTTGTTGCCTAATTAAATGTCACCCCAACTGTGACTGATTTGCACAATTTCACCGCCAACTTCACCCTACAAAGAGGTCGAAGCAAATGCGGAATCGGTTAATTTTGAAAATAAATCCATATGGAGGATTAACATTTACTCGGCTTCTCCTCGCAAAGCTCCTCCAGAGGGACGAGACAAGTACAGATAACACACTTTTGGGGGCTGCTATCATGAAAAGGTGCTTCCCTGGTCTCCTGCCCCTCTGGGCTCTTTGAAATAACGCGTCGTGCATCCATTTGGTTGAGAACGCAGGAAGTGTTTCCCAGTGCCAGGCTAATTAAGCCGGGGCCTCCATTAATTATTCTGATTTGGTGCTCATTTGAATCCCGCATAAATTATCCACACTCTTATCTGCTCAATAAGTTGTTTTGAGGCGGATTAGCGTAATGGGATTAGTTAGCGTAGTGCTTTGCATGCTGTTTTGAGATGAACAATAAAAACAACAAGTGTTTCCAGGTCATGTTTCAGGAGCACTAAAGGGTTAGTTTTAGTGCCCCTTGATGCGTGCTCCACCACTCCAGCACTCTTTTGTCCTGCAGAATGAATGCGATGGACAATTACAAGGCCATAATGACATGTTAGGGTGTGCCATGTGTTTTGAGCTGAATTTGATTAATTCATTAGGAATAGGAGCGTGAGGACTTCAGCATTCATTTTAATCAGTGTTTAGTAGTGGGGGCACAATTGTTGGTGTAACATTATGATTAACGAGTGTTACATACTTCCGGTACTAATCACATTTTCAGCACGTCAGAGTTGTGACGAAATGGAAGAACAGACATATCTTTTTCTTCAGTATCGTGGCGTAAATTTCAAGTGCATCAGTTTATCGTAAAATAAAAAGAAATGTAGGGTGAGGAATTGGTTCTATCCAATAGGTTGTTGGTTGGATTTTGAGGTATGGGCGTTTCATTCAAAAATGTATGCGAGCTTGTAGACAATCGATTGATTGAAGAAGTCACCAGACCACACATGGATGAATCATTCACAATAAACATGTAGATATGTGCATTTTTACTTGATTTAGCAGATAGTAGATATGTTGCATTGCTTTTCTGCTTAATTTATTTACTGGCAAATACAAATCCCATGTCCCATTTAAAAAAACACACACACACAATTGTTACTTATAGAAATACCTTTTATTTTGTTTTATTTTGTATTTATTTATTTATTTGTTTGTTTGTTTGTTTGTTTGTGATACTTGCCTGGCAAAACAACCACCTTAATTTTACTACTATTATTATTAGTAGTACTAGTAGTAGTAATTGTAGTAGTAGTATATTTTAAACTCTATATTTCAGTGAAACTGTGTTTTTACTAGAATTTTCTATTATTTTTCATTTTATGCAAATTCGCCATTCTGACCAACAGAAAAGCTGCTTGGTTTGAAACTGACCAAACACTGAGCTGTTATTTATACATCTCAGTGCTATTGACAATTAATCTTTTTGCACAAGGAATGTTGCTAATGTGACCTTACCTTTATAGGAGTTATAATATGTCTGAGCATGATGGGTGTTGTAGGTCTGAGAGTGTGTAATACTGTTGAAGATGTTATTTGTAGCGACAAAATATTTGTAGACAATATTTAAAAAAAAAAACAGAATATTGTAACCCCGCATTTTTTGAAAGTAATGCTCCCCACCAATGCTGGCTGTTGATTCAACCTCAACTTCCCCAACCATGTCCACTATTCATCACGTGTTGCTTTAGAGCTGAAGTGCATGGTAAACACGCTGTAATGCTGGACGTTGTTGGAGGTCTCCCAAGGTTGTGGTGTGCTCATCACGCTCAGGCTCTTCGTGTCGTACTGAGACCTTGAGAACACCTGGTCCATGCTTAGTCCATGCTGGCCTTCCCAAAGGAGAGGAGCTGTTTTGGATTTACAGTTTCAGTGATGAGGCAGAATGAGCTTCAGGTGTTTGTCATCACACACTGCTGGCAGCTTTCACAACCCCTGCTCTCGGCTCTTGGAACCCTATTGCTGGTTTTATTCTTCTCAGTATTTTTCTTTTTGTTTTTATTGTTAATTTTTTTATCCTAAAAGTGTCCCAGAAGAGGTTGTTTACCATTTTTGGGAGTTGCCAACAGGGCGGCTCTGTGAAAAGTTATGTATTTGTATTTTTCTCTAGCCGAAAAGCTGCTTGGTTTGAAACTGACCAAACACTGAGCTGTTATTTATACATCTCAGTGCTATTGACAATTAATCTTTTTGCACAAGGAATGTTGCTAATGTGACCTTACCTTTATAGGAGTTATAATATGTCTGAGCATGATGGGTGTTGTAGGTCTGAGAGTGTGTAATACTGTTGTAGATGTTATTTGTAGCGACAAAATATTTGTAGACAATATTTAAAAAAAAATACAGAATATTGTAACCCCGCATTTTTTGAAAGTAATGCTCCCCACCAATGCTGGCTGTTGATTCAGCCTCAACTTCCCCAACCATGTCCACTATTCATCACATGTTGCTTTAGAGCTGAAGCGCATGGTAAACACGCTGTAATGCTGGACGTTGTTGGAGGTCTCCCAAGGTTGTGGTGTGCTCATCACGCTCAGGCTCTTCGTGTCGTACTGAGACCTTGAGAACACCTGGTCCATGCTTAGTCCATGCTGGCCTTCCCAAAGGAGAGGAGCTGTTTTGGATTTACAGTTTCAGTGATGAGGCAGAATGAGCTTCAGGTGTTTGTCATCACACACTGCTGGCAGCTTTCACAACCCCTGCTCTCGGCTCTTGGAACCCTATTGCTGGTTTTATTCTTCTCAGTATTTTTCTTTTTGTTTTTATTGTTAATTTTTTTATCCTAAAAGTGTCCCAGAAGAGGTTGTTTACCATTTTTGGGAGTTGCCAACAGGGCGGCTCTGTGAAAAGTTATGTATTTGTATTTTTCTCTAGCCTATGTCTCAGGAACCATATGGGCTCAGTTTTTGAAGTCTTTCCCGGCTGTTCATCCAACTTGCATGAAAATTGGCGTATATCATCTAGAGACAACCTTGACAAAAAGGTTGTCAAAAGAATTTTGATTTGTTAAATCACAGATTTGAGCCAATAACATTTTCAGGCGTTGCACATAATTACTAAATTGGCTTGTAACACAAAATCCAAAGTTCACAAAACTTGGTATACATGGGTTTCAAGGCCATGTGAGGATGCATACCAAATTTCATCAATTTCTGATTCTAGGGAAATTTATAAGTAAGTAAAAAAAAAAACAACAACAGTAGCCTAATGGAAGAATTTAAAACAGCTGCGTTTACATCATCCACGCAATCTGTTCTTTCAGATTTCACATTTCTGGTCAGTTTTGGGATAACTTTGGTGGCTAGATGTAGCCCAGGTCCCTCTATCAAACCAATCCTTTTTTTAACCAGTCACTAAGAGAAAATTGCATATAATGCAGTTTTCCGTAACAAGCTGACAAGTGACATGTCAAAGTTTAATACTTAAGGGTATGATTATGTTCAAAGCTGTAACTCTAATAGGAGTAATAGTAATATATTGTCTACTTAGCAAACCCACCAACAATTATAGATGGAAGGAGGTCAAATTAACTCAATAGCAGAGGAGTCAGAGGTGGAGATGTGTATGCATTTAGTGAGGGAGTGGGAAGGCTTGTGAATGTTCATTAAGAACTGAAACGCAGGTCTGGACCCCAGCGGAGACGCTCACGCAGCACAGAAGCGTCCTCCTTCACTCTCATTACATCTACCTCTCCTCTGAGAGCCATCAGAAACACACACACACACACACACACACACACACACACACACACACCCACCCACCCACCTTGCCAGGAGAGTATGGATTACTGACATTCAACTCCTCTTCTCTCTCATTGTGTTTTTGTTCACACACATACAGAATCACTTCTGCAAAACACACTCATCTGGAGTCTCTCAAGGCCCATTTAACTGTAGCCCTTCACTTTTTTATCTCTTCCATCTCAGTATGAAGCACACACACACACACACGAGGAGGTCTCTGAGGCGTTTGCAATACACTGCAATAGGAGCTCATCTGCATGCGTGAGTAAACTTGCATTGATGAGCTCTGCACTTAATGGACACACTGATTGGAAGAGCATTAAAATCAGAGCTGAAAGACAGAAAGAGGAAGAGAGAGATGAGGTGATCAAAGAAGAGCGAGAGAGAAATCACTAATCCAGAAATACTAAACAGCTGAATGAATGACCAGGCAAGTGGAGGCAGCAAAATTGAACAAAATAGTTTTTTGGTAGTTGAATCCACTTGTGAAAAAAGTGTCCTAGAATTCACTCACCAAATAAAGGTTGCACAATACATTTTCTAGATTTGTGTTGTTGTTTTGCCAAAACGGTTCTAGAATACACTCTCAATAAAGATGCTAAATGTCATTTCATTAAAAAGTTATATAATTTACTTCATTCGCTATGCCATTGCAGATTTATTTGTTTGTTAGTGTGTTTGTTTATTCATTTGTTTTAGTTGTCAAAAGTGTTCTGGAATTCACTCTTAAAGGTTTAAAATCTCACTCTCAGTCACTCTCGGGTGCTAAATTTCATTTGATTAAAAAAGGTTTTAGAATTTAATGAATTAACCATATTGTTGGGTTTATTATTAATATAATTATTTATTTGTTTGTTGATTTATTTCACTTTTCCAAACGTTTTCTAGTATTCATTCTCAATAAAGCTTCAAAACTTAATTTCATTA